GCTTCTCCCTCTCCCTGGGTCCTGGGCAGCCTTGCCCGGTCGCAGGGCCTCTCTAATCCTCGGCCTCTCTCCCTGCCCCAGGATCGCTCCTCACTGCCAGCTGTCAAAGGTTGCATGGCTGCATCGTGCATGCATGCCTTAGGTGGCGGCAGAAGGGCTATGCATGCAGAAACCGAGTGAAACTGGAGTCATGGAGCCGCTGTTGCCCAGCTCCGAGCAGCAAAAGAACATGGGTGACGGGGTTATAGGCAGGAGTGTAGACAACGTGGAAGTGACTACACCACTGAAGAAAACGTCTATAGGCAACAGTTAACTGCCTATAGGTCCCCTTGGAGGCTCAGGGTCTCTTGTGTGGCCCCCCCCCCACACACACCCTCCCCTCAAGAGAGAATGTTGACAGGCCAAGACTTGCAAGTCATCACAACTGCTGGGAGTTCATCCGCGCCTTTCTCTGGCTCCCACATTCTCTTTTCCCTCTCTAGTTCCCTATACCCTGGGTCTTGGATGGAGTAACACAGGTGTCCCACTTAGAGCTGAGCATTCAAGACCAACATCCCGGCTGGGCGGTGGTGGCGCACACCTTTAATCCCAGCACTCTGGAGGCTGGGGCAGGTGGATCCCTGAGTTCCAGGCCAGCTTGGTCTACAGAGCCAGTTCTAGGACAGCCAGGGCTACACAGAGAAATTCTGTTTTCAAAATCACCCTCCCCCCACCACCAAAACAAAACAAAAAAACCGAGCTTACCCTTAGCACCCTGGACAGCTCTCAGACTCTACAGAAATGGCTTGCCACAATAAGAAGCCTCTCTGACCAGCTCTGACAGCAGCACCGAGCTGTATGGGTATAAGCATAAATATTCAGAAGGCACTTTGACACTCACATCATGCCTGTGTAGCAGAGCAACGAACAGCAATTGCTTCCTCGCCAGGGCCTGTGACGTTCCCAGACATGGGCTTTTGACTGGGTTTACATCAACAGACATGAATTCCCTCCTGCGGGGTGGGCCTCAAAACCAGTCAGAAACCGTGGGTTACCCCCATAACTGACCTGCCACTATTTCGACAGTGGGCGCATCTTAACGGCTCATCAGTGACATGGCACCTTCTCGAGTTTTCTTAGTTAAATAGCCACCAGGAAACTAGGAAGAGGGAGGTTCTGCCAGGCCACGGTTGCCCCAGAGAGGGTTCCGTGAAATGTTTTCTGATTATGGTTGCCCTTCTTTAAGTGTGGCAGCCCTGAGGGGAAAGGCTTCCCCAGAGGAAGTTTTCAGCTCTGAGGGTAACAGCGTCCTGGCCATTGGGAGCCAAGGAATACCACAAAGTCACAGTGTACAACAAACCTCACACAAGAGGTTTATTGGGAAGGGCACAAGAGGGTAACTACCTGTGCAAGGGGAGGAGTGGCAAAGAGCTAAGTGGGAGGCAGGCTTTATTCAGGGTTACTTGCAGCAGGGATGGGGGGATGGACGTGGTGGGCAGAGATTTCCAGGGTGGGAATTAGTGAGATATCAAGTCCTGAGCTTGGGCGGGCTCAGGGATTGGTGAGTTTTCAGAACACCCAGACTTTATACTCTACACTTCCCCAACTCCTCCCAGGTCCTCTCCATCTCCCCTCCCATCCCAGTCCATACCCTTTCTGTCTCTTGTTAGAAAACACAGGCACAGAGCAGTGGTGGTCCACGCCTTTAACCCCAGCACTCAGGAGGCAGAGGCAGGCGGATCTCTGTAACTTTGAGGCTAACCTGGTCTAAAGAGCTAGTTTGAGGACTACACAGAGGGACCCTATCTCAAAAAACAAAACAAAAAAGCATGGTTTGTAAGAAAACTAATTTTTATTTTGCAAGTGGTTATCAATTGAAGATAGGTTCGGGGTTAGGGATGAAGGCATGTGTCCATTTCTTTCAGCTCTGGAACCCCATCTGGCACAGACCCATGCAGTCCCAGTGCACACTGCCACAGTCTCTGGAGTTCATGCGTGCGCCAGTTCTGTTGTATCTGGAAGGCATTGTTTCTTTGGTGACCTCCATCCCCTCTGACTCTTACAGTCTTGATGGGACCGAACATTCCAAGCTCCCACTGTGGGCATTGTCCAGTTGTGGGTCTCTGTATTTGTTCCCGACTGCTGTAGGAGGAAGCTTCTCTGATGACAGACTGAGCAAGGCACCCATCCATGAGGAGAGCAGTATGCCATTAGGGGTCATTTTATGGCTGTGTAAAGCGGTGAATAACTGATATGAAATCCATAAGGTTAGGGTAACTTTTAATAGATGAATGCCAACCAACAGCAAGCCAGAGCGTGCCAAAGCAGGAAGGTGAGCCTGTGCCTTGTCTGTCCCTTTAAAACCTCTCCCAGGTCATCCTGACATCACCTTGACCACACCCTGATGGGAGTGGTTGGGCACACCTGTAGCCAGTCCTTAGGAGGCGTGGTTACTTAACAGTGTGAACTATCCAAAAATTAACAATCATAAAGGTGAAATATAAGAAGATACAACAATCTGCTTTTGTCATATCCTAACTATGTCTATTTTAACTAAACCCTAAAGTCATCTGAAGGAGATGTCCAAGCCTGAACACCTCCTTCCAATCCCAACCATAAACAATAGGAAGCTATCCCTAACTAGGTATACATTATCCTTAGTGACAGCAATGGGGGGAAGGAGGCATAGCATTCTCCAAGTTATTTCCTGCTGAAAGTCCCGAATGGGTTATATCCAGTCCATGTTAGATGGGATTCGCTTGATTGAAGATCTAGGTTGAAATCCTCAACTTGATTGAAGTCAGTACTTAAGCTCTGGTCGGAGTGTCAGGTGAAACAGAGTAAATTGGATCCAGTGCAGTTGAGGAGGTGTGGCCCAATTCCTTTTCCAGAGCATCCAGGGATTGCTGTCAGGAGGGTCTTCATTGGCTGTGTGGGACTCAAACGTAAGTGTTAGCAGAGAAATGTTTGCTTGTGTATGTACACATGCTGGGAAAGGCAACCATGGGAAAATAACAATTATGAGAGGGTGCAGACCTTGAAAGAAAGAGCCAAGAAAAGACAAAGAAAGTCCCCCAAATTCTTCTCTTATTCTGTATTACATCAATTGGCTTCTTAATACTATACAGAAATTCTAAAGTTTAGTTAAACAACGTGCTTGGATTTTAGAGGAGGAAAGCCAAATCCACCTCTAAATCCAGCATTGGTTTAATTGAATAAGGACTAGGAAATAAAGAGAAATAGAGTTCTCTGAGAGACAGCTGTAAAGTTTACCGTATGGCACATTCCTTTTGTTTGATGGCTATAGCTACCTTCTCTTCTTAAGCATCTACCCATGCAGTGTCCTTTGCCTTCTGGAGATGAGTTTTCCTGTGAAGATAAAAACAAAACACCTCCCTTTCCTTTGGGAGGTTTCTATTTAGTTTATGAGATATACCTTGGTAGAATACCTGTCATTTGTCCTCATGGAGAGGTTTTTCCTTTTCAACTCGAATCTTGATCAACTTTGATGGTATCCAAAGTTTTTCTTCTCCTGTGGAAACAAAGGCAAAACCCCTTCCCCCTCATAACACATGTCCTGGTTTCCATGCAGAGGTTAGTACATCTTTGAAGTATACTGGCTGATTCAGTTTAGCAGTTTTCTCTGTAGTCCAGTGTCTTTCTGCAGCTGTTTGCCCTTTCTCGTTGGCATTAAGAAAGTTTACTGTTAATAAAGCATTATACAACCTATGTTTGGGGTGGGGTTGTTTTCCCAGCCTGTCTATGGAGCATCTCCTTTAGTGTTCTATTAGATCTCTCAACCACTGCTTGTCCCGTAGGACTGTGTGGTATACCGGTGACATGCTTTATGTTATAATATTTGAAAAACTGTTCCAATTTTGTGAAGACATATGCTGTGCCTTGTCTGTCCCTTTAAAATCTCTCCCATGACACCCTGACATCACCTTGACCACACCTTGACGGGCGTGGTCGAGCACACCTGTAGCTAGTCCTTAGGAGGCGTGGTCACGGTGTCTCCCTACCGCTACGTTCCTTTTATAGAACAGTAGTGTTTGTCTTGCCCCCAGGTCCCTGACCTATCTGGTCTCGGGTTCTCGGCCACCTGATCATTGTCAGGGACAGGTTCCATCATAGGAAATCAGCCCCAGATCCAAGCAGTGACTGGCCACGCCCCCAACTGTGTACCTCTGTTGCACCAGTGCGTCTGGCTGGCAGACCACCATCGTAGATGGAAGGCTGTGTAGCTGGGTTGGGGTCTACCTTTCTCCTGGCACTGTGGGGAGTATCTCCCAGTAGGATGAACACCAGTTCTAGTCCTGGGGGCGAAGGCCCCAGGTAGGCAGCGGCTCAACCGTGTTCAGTGAGTTGTGTAGGTGTTCGCCTGAAGCAATAGGGCCTCACTATCAGTTTGTGGAGAGCAGCCAGTAGCCTTGGCAGTAGCCTGGATTGTTTGGGGGTTCCCACGGGGCCTCTTTAGTCAACAGCTTGATTAGAGGTAACCCATTCCTGCCAGCTACCAGAAGCTTCGTTTGATGACAAGAGATGTCCAGTTGGCCTGTCTGCTCCGTGGTCAGAGGCAAGCGGGCAAGCTTTCGTTTCACAGAAACATGAAATGGGAGCCCAAGAAGTGGACAGGGAGGTAATGGTTAGCAGCCATCTGGCTTCAGGCTAGTTCTCTGGCCCACATAAGAGGCCATAGTCCAGCCTGCTGAGCTGTGCCCTTCCTTCCCCATTACTGACTGTCCCTTTCTACAGATACTGGTGACTGGAACCCAGGCGGCCCCATGGAGGCAGCAGCACCCCAGCCGGTGAAGCAGGAGAGCCTGTCCGTGGAGGCCCTGACCCTGGACTCCCCCTGGCACCGCTTCCGACACTTCCACCTGGGTGACGCAGCAGGG